CTCTAAAATATTATATCCAGGATTGACCAAAATATCCCAGATATGGTATCATACAGCCAGAATAAAGAGGATTGTCAGCTCTCTTATTATAGACTTTATAATCACATTAAAGCAGCTCAAGTCTGCATCAACTTTCATGGCTACCATTTGAAACTGTTGACTCACATTGGATTTATGCTACGTTAAAAAAAAAACATATCTCTTTCTCATAAATGTTTAGGTATCTCCAATATTTACTAGTGTGGCTAATTGTTGTAACTGATAAACTCAACTGTGAGGCAAAAATCACAGATTTAGAGATTTATCCCTAATATTGTCCCTCCGTAAGACTCTGCGGGCATAGTGACTGGGATACAGGGCACTATTACCCAGGCTCTAGGAGCTTCTGGGACATTATCCTTATGATGGTAATTGATAGGACAGATTGCCTAAACTCCTATTTGTGAATACAGAGGGCATGTTATATATAGAGAAAACCTCTGTGTGCTGTAGAATGAAGAGTTAGTGTTGTAAAGAGAGTGTGACCTGTGTAGTGTGATCCTTCTGTGGGGATCCTAGTGTTAGCCATTTCTGGTTGACTTATGCAGGTGTTAATTCCTAAGTAATTTGAAGGATTTATAGCATAGATCTTTGGCAATTTGTAGGCTTCTCTGGGAAAGATGCATAACTTTATTCCTTCTCTCACATATGCCCCCTTCTCTCTGAAATTGCTACCACCCTGCTTCAAGTCTTTATAACCTCAGGCCTAGATTATTACAATAGTCTACTAGTTAGTTTCTCTGCCTCATATCCTCCAGTCCAATCCATCCTCTACTCATCTGTCAAAGTAATCTCCCTAAAGTTCAAATCTGACTGCGTCACTCTCCTCCCATTCAATCAAATCCAGCGGCTCCCTACTGCCTCAAGAATCAAAGATAAAGTCCTCTCTGTTTGGCTTTTAATGCCTTCCATCACTTCATGTTTTCCTACCTTTTGAGTCTTATACCTTACTCCAAATACTCTGCATTTTAGAGACCCCAGCCTCCTTCCTATTCCTCATAAAACACACCAATTTCAGACACTGGCCATTTTTCCTGATTGTCCCCCATGTCTAGAATTCTTTCCCTTCTCATCTCTACTTCGAGCCTTTCCTGACTTCTTTCATGTATCAGCTATAATTCTACCTCCTTAATTAAGCCTTTCCTGATTCCCATAAATGTTAATGTCTTCCCTCTCTTGATTATCTCCAATTTATCCCATACAAAGCTTGTTTATATAAAGTTATTTTCATATCATCTCACCCTTTGGAGTGTAAGTTCCTTGATGGTAGGTATTGCCTTTTCCTTTCTTCCCATACCCAACACATAGCACAGTGCCTAGAACATAGATGGCATTCTCCAAATGCTTATTGACTTTGTTCCAGTCCTCAATCACCACTCAATGATTCTTCAAACAGTACAGTGAGTGAATTAGCTGCCACCTCTCCAACTCTTTCTCAATATCTGGATGTTAGTGGAGCCAACCAAGGAGATTAGTTTCATTTAAGACACTTTACAAGTTTTCTCCCTGTGACCTTTCCCTCCTTAGTTTCAACTCCCTGACAAACAGTTTTCTTTCAATGCTTCTATTATGAAGAACATTATTCTTAATAGAAAAAGAGGAAAACCAGAGTTCCATGGTGTGGCTTTTTCTGCATCATGCATTAGCATCATTTTATTGCGTCTAAGAATCTGACCTATCTCTTCCTTGCCCTTATTTTCAAGAAAAGTTAGAAAGCATGTCTAAGTGGCCTTAATTATTTTTCAAAGTCTAATCTTACTTGGGTTTTTGGCATCTCTTACACTCTGCCTAAAGAACTGTTCTACTTCTTCGTTTTTACCTTTAACCTTCCTTTCCTTGCTTCCATCTATTTTGATATATGACCTTTTGAAATCTTAACAAAGAGCCACCTGTGTATGTATGTCAGTCTCTGGAGGCGCCCACCCTTTCATGGAGAGCTACTTAGCCCTCTCAATTTAACTTCTATTCTAGAATTTCAGGCCACGAGAACTTATCTCTTTATTTTATCATTGTTTCAGGTCCAGATCTGGATATAACTGCAACTCTCCTAGATTATTTCCCATTCCAAATCAAAACCATCTTTCTCCAAGTTTCCAATTAATCAATAAATATTTATTAAATGCATACGTGGCAGCTAGGTGATCCAGTGGTTAGTGGACTGGGACTGGAATCAGGAAGATCTGAGTTAAAATCTAGTCTGAGACACATACTAGCTGTTTGACCCTGGGCAAGTCACTTTACCCAGTTTGCCCCAGTTTCCTCATCTGTAAAATGAGCTGGAGAAGGAAATGACAAAGCACTATAGTATCTTTGCCAAGAAAACCCCAAATGGAGTCACAAAGTATGGGACATGACTGAAAAGATTGAACAGCAATTACGTGCCAGACACTGTGCTAAGCATTAAGGAGACAAAAAGAGACAAAAACAAACCAACCAAACAAAAAGAGTCCCTGCCCTCAAGGAGGGCATAAGCTAATGGGATCGAAGTTCCCAAACTTCTGTTCTCTCCAAGTATCTCGTCATTTCCCCTCATAATTGCCTTTACTTTGAGGAAGATAAATTCCAGCGTAAAATGTACAAACTTAGGTAAAAAATACCCTCACAACTGTTTTGAGCTATTCCACAGTTTACTTCAGATTTAAAAGCAGTGTGTCTGACTGTGGTAGGCGAAAAAAAAGGTATCAATAAAGGTGTTAGGTTGGTTTTTTTTTTGGGTTTTGTTTTGTTTTGTTCTAGTTATAAATATGTATATATGTTATATATAATATATGCATGTGTGTGTATATGCATGCATGTATATATGTATACATGAGATATATGAATATACATATACACATACACGTACATGTACATATACATATACGTATACATATGCATATACATATACGTATACATATGCATATACGTATACGTATACATATGCATATACATATACATATATATATATATATAGTATCAAGTAACTGAGCTATAGACGCAGAGGAAAGCCCAGGTTTGTAGTAACAAATAGCCCTATGGAGGTACCATATGTTGTTCCTTGTCCATCTGTTTCTGGTCTGAGAGTCCATTCATCTGCCCGTGTCTGTGTATGTACTTCTCCACCAGAGGTCCTGTTCCTAAGCTGTTTTTCACCTCTGTACAATTAATCAACCAACCAATATTCGATGTCACACTTTTCTATCTCCTTTCCCAAGTGTTTCCCCATCCTCTCGTTCATCATCCTTTCACCTTCTTCACTTCAGTTCTTTAGGTCTCAAGGACACTTTACTATCCTATCCTACCTTGAATATTGCCAATCTGTTTCCATCCTGTTGGTAATTTCTGCTTTCTCCATCTAATCATCCTGGATACTAACCTCTTTTTTTTTTTAACAAAATTTCCTTCATGGCTGTGTAACTCACTTTTCCATTCTTGAATCGACCAAGAACTTTGCTCTACATTTTAACACACACAGACACACACAAACATATATGTCTGTATACGTAGACATATGCGTATGACCCCATATTCAAAGAGGAGTACAAAAAACTCTAGCTTCTGGCCGAGGTGTCTCTTATTAACTCATAATCACTTTTTGTTCGTTTGTTTGTTTTTGTTTGTTTATTTGTTTTATTTTATTTTTACCTCAGCATCCTGGCTCCCTGGGCAAACCTTGTCCTATACTAACTTAGTAGTAGTTTTACAGCATCACTCTTCAAGCAGCCTGGACATTATATATCTCTTTACAAAATTTTTTTCAAGGAGGCTACAAAATTCACTTTTGTACTCCCAAAGCCATTCCCAATGCTTCATCCACACCATTAGCAAATGCAAGCCCTTATACTTGTAAACGAGAAAAGAAAACTCGAGTCCCTTGCCTGCAGAGTTCTTGCAGGAATTCCAAATCATATTTGGGAGAATGGCACATGCTCACAGAATTTCCCTCACTGGCTGTCCAAAAATAGTTTAAGTCGATGGTTAGGAGGGGATTAGGGAAAGGAGAAAAAGACAGCAAAGAACAATGAAGCCCTGGATTTCCTATCAACAGTCTGAAGTGGACTCAAAGCATGATTGCGGAGAGCTGGAGTCATAAGACAGTGTAGGACCTCAGGGACCCCCATCCATTTTATTTTACGTTGCTGCTTTTTGTTTGTTTGTTTTGCAGATAGGACAATTTATTCAGAAAACACTAGAAAGATAAGTTAAAAAAATAATTAAAACAATAACTTACTAGTTGTAGAATATAAAATAAACCCATATAACTTGTCAATATTGTTGTATTGCCAACAAAATGTGGTACAAAGAGATAGAGAAATTCCATTCAGAATAACTACAGTATTGTAAGTAATAATCCACAAGTAGGAGCTGGCAATATTCCAAATATCATGACACCAATGCCATATCATTTTCAATAAAATTATACTAAAATATACCTGTACTTATTATTGGATATATATTATTGGATATAATAGAATTGCATTGTTTTAGAAGGATAAATCAATAGAAGAGTTAAACAGTCCCATTTCTTTCCATTCTACATATTAGCATTGCCTCCAATCTTCAACACCAAATTTGATAAGCATGCCATTATCCAAACTATTGATTACAATGAGCAGGGGCACATGGTGCCACTGTATAATTGGCCATTATGTTATCCCATCCTTGATTCTGCTTCCCTACTCCCTGGTCTTTTTTCTTTATTTCCAATCTCTCTTCTTCCCAACATTTTTTAAACTTTCCTTCCCTTCTCATTTAATCAGCAAAGAAGAGGAGGTGGGTATCCGAGCTAGGGAGTTGCCCTCTGCTCCCAATCTCAGGTTTTGAATGAATTCCAACATCTAAAGAAAGATATGTTCCACCATGTGGCTTTCAGAGCCAACGATATAAAATAGAGGTCCCTAGGGACCAAAGATAAGAGATCAGGCCTGTGGTGATACTTTATACTTTAATAGAACGCCATGATTGCAGTGACAGTGACTTACCTCCACCAGCTTATTGGCATGTTCACGGAAAACTTGAGCATACTCCTTGACTTCTTTCTCATTCCCACTCTTGGCAGCCTCAATCAGTACCAGCAGCGGGACATTGGTTTCCAGGAATGAGTCTGATATATGATCCATCACTGCCTTTCGAAGCTACAGGAAAAGAAAACAGTAATAAACAATGAACACTTGTCAATTGATTTTTTTTTCTGATTTGTCTTTCTATGACATATTTACCAATTGTGGTTACACTTGGTAATAACCTTCTAATTAACATGAACCTCCCCCCATATCTCTAAAAGTATCTATTCGAGGCAGTACAAGGGGATGTGTAGTGACGAACCTAACAATTAAAAGGCTCTTAGCGCAGCTAAAGCCTCACTTGTGCACATGGATGAAATTTGTCTTCAATGCCCAGTGAATATCCCCCAGCATTATGGGACCTTCATAACTACAGCATTAAGGAGCTTAATAATACTTCATGGTACTTTTAGTAGTAATTTAAAGATGGCAACATCATACAATGACCACATCTAGAATCAGAGGATGTGGGTTCAAATCCCACCCCTAATGACCTTTGATAAGTCACTTAAATTCTCAAGTTTCCTCATCTATAAAATGAAAAGGTTGGACTTGATGGCCTCTTCAGTCTTTTCCAGGTCAATATATGTTCATAAGTGTGTTACAAGAGGAGTGCCACTGATAGCCCCTCCATATTTACTCTAGGACACTCTTTTCTGCATTTAAATATTTTCAAAGCTGGGTGTAGGTATTTTTTTTCTCACTCCTGGAGTAACTAGTGTCATCTCACACATAAACCCTGCAATCACTCTGTAAAACACAGCACATGAGACAATCCAATCAATCCTTGTTACATCGTAGAGCCAAGTACTTTAGGAAGTTCCGCTGGATTGAAGTATCAAAGGAAATCCTCATCCTTGGATCTTCATACTCAGAAGTGAAAACAGGGAGGGGTGGGAGGAAGAAGGTCAGCTGGGGAAAGATGATGGACAGGGAAAAGAAGATAGAGCAGAATTTTAAAAAAACCTAAAAAACAAATTGGATACAGATTGATTGGTGGATGATTATGCTAATTGTGGTATACAGATTCAAATGAACAATTATTTTGCCTTGAAAAACAACAAATATAAAGAATTTGGAGAAACATGGGAACAGTTGAATGAAATGATTCAGACAGAAGTAAAAAGAACAAATGGGCAGCATCCCCAGTGGCCACAGGAGTATAAAGGAAAATGGTGCTAAAGAGGTAAGTGAATTCAAATCAATGCAACAACCAATCTGGTTACCAGAAGACAGATGGCATAACTTATGTCCTCTCAGTAGAGTGGTAAACTAAAGGTATAGATTGAGGCACACATTGTCAGTCATTGCCAATGGATCTATTTGTTTTGCTTAACCACACTTCCTTGTTATAAAGGATGGCAATATGTATAGAATGTTATTGAAAATTGACAGTAATATAAAAAGAATTGCAGCATCAGTTAAAATTTCTGTAAGAAATTGGAATGCTTGTATCTGTGCCATCCAGCAATGCCCACCAATGCCTTGACCATCTGACTTACTCTCTTTCCCTCTGTTTCTCTCTGTCTCTCTGTCTCTCTCCACAAAAACACACACACATATGTATATATGTATGTATATACACACATACATATTCATACACACACACACATGTGTATACACAGACTTTTTTGTTTTGACATATTGTTTACCCTCAGTAGAATATTATATCCTTGGGGGCAAGGACTGCTTTGTTTTTTGTCTTTGTATGTTGTGGGAAATGACTATTTATAACCAATAATTTGAGGAGAGATTCACAGCTCTCCCCTTTTTCCAAAGTCCTTTAAAAGTTCAGACTGTAGATTGAGATTGAATTGGCTATCCTCAATCTTGGTCAGATCCCACCCAAACCTTGCAGGAATTTAAGGTGAGGAAACCCATTATGTTCTACTCAAACTTGGGTGGAGACAGTTCCTTGTGTATAAATAGTCTAAGGTTGTGTGAGGTCTGAGTATAGAGAAAAGTTTCTTGGTCCAAAGGTCACTTTCATCCCCTCATTGAACACCTAAGGGTATATAAACTGTGAGCCATGCTGCCATAATGGTCTTTGGTGTAAGAGAGATGGTCAAATGACCATTCTTTTATTAATAACCTGCTGGACTTATGAATAAAATGATTAAATTACCCAGAAACTGTGTCTCACAAACATTTTTCAGTGTCACAATAATCCAGTATACCACATAGTAGGAGCTTATCATGTTTGATAAATTAAATCGAAATACCACTGAAGTCAGGTAACCTAGAATCCTAGCCTTGTTTTGGACACTAAGTAGATGGGTAACCTTAAAACGGCCATCTAAACACTCCCAGACTCAGTTTCCTAATATGCAAAATAAGTATATGAACTTTTGTGTCTCATTAGGTTGTTTTTAAGATTTAGTGGTGATAAAGGATTTTGAAATACTCTAAAAAGTTGCATGCATACATGGAAGGGGAAGACTTTGCCTGTTACACACATTGATTGTGTGGCTTTCCCTCTCAGTGGCTGGTTCTCTAAAGGTATAAGTTCTCAGCAAGTGCTGAAATTCATGAGTAGAGATGCTACCTCAAGGGGGGGGCTCCATACCATGAAATTCCACATCAGGATTTTTTTCAAAATGGACAAAGGATCATAAATCTAGAGCTGGAAGGAAGTACCATCAGAAGCCATGGTACTGTTACTACCTCCCCTTTCCTCCAGGTAGGATGGAGAGTGGAACAATGTGAAGAAGACCGGATTTGGAAGCTGACACTGAGCTTCCAATCTGGGCTCCACTGTTTGCCACCTGTGTATCATTGGGATATGACCTCACGCCTTCTCATGACCTCAGCTTCCCCTTCTAGACAAGAAGTATGCTGGATTGGAATATCTCTTGGGTTATTTCAAACTCTATTTCCAAGATCATATAAATACGGGATGAACACAAAGGCCGTGTCAGTCCTGGGCAAAAGCAAGGATGTCTTTTTTTTTTTTTTCAGTTTTCATGGCCTCTGGATTCTAACACTTTTATGTCAAGCATCCTCACAATCTCTTCCCTTTCCTCCTATAAAAAATCTGCCCTTATATCCTTTATCCAAATGGCAGAGTGATTTATAGCACCTAAGGTGAGAGTCCTCCAGACAATATACACTGTAATAGAGATTATGGTCTTAAGCAAAGAGGGAGGGAAAATCAATAACAGAAAGATTTCAGCCCCCTGAATACTACATATTTACAATTACTAATATATATTTCAGAAAGGAAATAAAGCCCCTTTCTTTGCAATGATGGAAGCCTATGGGTACCCAATATTGCATATGACATCAGATCATTGATTGTTATATGGTTACCACAAAGTAGTAATATGGTCACTACATTTGTTTCATTTAATGAACTTTCTTTGTTAAAAAGGAAGGCTCATTGGGAGTTGATTGGGTGAGTATATCAGAAATCAAAAATAAAACATTAATTATTGCATTTTTAAAATATTTAAGCTTCAGCCAGAGAGTTAGCTGGTTCTGAAATAGTCACCTGTACTTCCCCCTTGTTGACACCAGCCTGAAACAGAAATGAGGCTTAAACACTTTCGCTACCAGGTGGCTAGACCATAAGTAAGTCTGACTTTCTTCTATAGTCAGGACCCTGAAAAAAACTCCTTAAAGGTCAAAAAGTCTTCCCAACTCCCCAGGCTCCCACCACTGCCCAAAATTTCAGTAATATTACAGTGGGAAAGAAGGTACCCATCCTGAAGGGAAAATTAAACACATTCCCCAAAAGATCTTCAGCCCAACATCATTCATTGTGAGCTAGGCATGGACGTTAAACAACTTGGACTGAAAGAGCGTGCACCAAAGGAGGAAAGAGGAAGACAAGCTGGGCATCCATTTGCATATTCCCCAGTAAATGTGCTGATTCGGTGGTGACAGCTTTGTTAGTGTGATCTATCTGCTTATGTCTCCCATTCCATCAGGCCTGGGGGAAATGTGAGCAAATTGCATTTTCCCCTCTCGTGCTAATTACAGCCATGCCGATGCACATCATTTAGCACAACTCAATCTGATGGAGTTGGACATAGTCCTCTCCTCTCTTCTCCTCTCCTCTCCGTTCTCCCCCTCCCCACCCCAATAGAATGCTCCAGAATCCATTTCATAGACATTGTGGCACAGTAGGGCAGAGAACACTCTGCAATACTTCATTGGAAAAGGGCTTCCATAGCAGACTGGATTTGGGTTTGAATTTCAGCTTGTCAGATTTTTAGCTGTGACTCTCGACAAGTTACATGCCCTTTCTGGGTAAGTCAGCTTCATCCTGATGAATAATAACTATGAACTGATTCATTTCTCAAGGCCTTTGTCATTTAATTACCTTCTGGCTCTAAAGGCTGTGCTCTTATGAATTCAGCAAACATTTACTTACTCATTAATTAATTAATTAATATAAAGTGGCCTATCCAAGGTTACCTAGCTAATTGCTGTTAGAATCCGTTGTAGAACACCCCACATTTTACTCCCTCCTTGTCTTTGTTCTGTCCAGGTGTACCTTGGTTACCATAAGTAATCTGGACCTTGCCCCTAGGCACCTGGACTCTAAGGAGTGAGCCATTGCCTTATTTTCTGGTGCCCAGACCCCAGGTCACTCCATGATATTCCTCCTCCACTCAAACCATTCCCTGGCACATAGTAAGTGCTTAATATATACCTGTTGACTGCCCAACTGACCTGTACCTCCTCCCCACCTGTAGCCTGGATTCTGCCTCTGGGTTCCTAATCCCTGATAAGTGAGCTTTTGCCTTTTCTTGATGAAGCCTAGGATTCCATGTCATATCATGGACTACTCCAGACCATTTGACCATTACTATGCCACCATTTCTCCTTTCAAGTTCTCATTTATCTATTTTCTCCCCCCATTAAGATAGAAGCTCCTTAAGAAAAAGAGTTAATTTGAATGCTTGTATTTGACTTTGTCTAGATCTTAGCTCTGCCTGTACTTAATAAATACTTGGTGAGTGACTGACTAGTTAGTAAAAATAACTAGTTAAAATTTGAAGCTAGAAGTTTGACTTCCTATCATGAGTGTCTCCTGGGCCTGACTGACCTTCCTGTCCTCTCTATGC